AAGCCAAGTGGTTGTTTTAAGACTGAGTTTAGCTGCTTCACTGCTCTTTGTGCAAGAGGTTGTCCTGGTTCCTCCTTCATCTGCTGAATGCACAGCAATCAGAATTACTTCTGGAAGGGTTTCCCGTGATATCAAGGAACAAGGAGGGGATTTCTGGGGATAAGCATTAAACAAGAAGGCCAAATACCATGTTTCTGGAACTGTTAAAAGTTTTAGCCAAAAATGGAATTAAAAACAAAACAAAAACCAAAAAACTTTGTCATGTGAAGTTGTGAAGGGTAGTTTGATGCTTTGAGTTGTGTCTTTGATGTGTGGGGTTCTAGATGACCATTATGCATCATTTATGATCCATCATAAATTGATCGAACTGGGGAGGTGTTGGAGCAAAAGCTGATCTTACCATAACTGCAGATTTGGGGGAACTTTTGCATTAAGCACATTAGCTAGGGGCTGTTAGGAACTTTGTTCCCTTTTGATAAAAAAAAAGCAAAAAAAACCCAAAAATAAAACTGTTGGGGTTTTTTTTAGTTGGTGAAGAAATGTGTGGACTGCTTTATGATATAGTTTCTCTCAGTTTATTCTGATTTTTAGATGGTCCAGTAAGCCCTGGTTGCCACCTTTCAGAACTTTTTTTAAATTTAAGTTTTTATGTAACTTATGTGAGTCTGGTTTTATTTTAATAGCTAGGAGGCTATTACTGAGTTGTAATGTGTTTATCCTAGGAATGCTTTCTTTCCCTTACCTATAAAAGGATTTGGCAGTAGGTTTAGGAGCAGAGCTGTGACTGTCCATCCCAAATCCAAAGAGCTGGAGTGCAGCTACTGTCAAAGCTCTGGATGTGGATGCCTTCGTGTGGCTTTTTCGAAACAGAAGAAGTGTTCAGGTGAGGTATGTTTTGGAGGCATTGCATGACCACAATCTGTCACCAAATATTATGTCAAGTTTTTGTAAGACAAACAATGTTTACATTTCTTCCCAATCTCATAAGCCAGCTGTATTAAGCAGAACAAATATTAAAGCAGTAATAGATATTAAGAAAAGGACACTAAATGGCTGGATAAACCATTTGCCTACTACTGCTGTTTGTACTTGAATTTATTTCAGTAACCATAACCTCAACAACATCTTAACCGCTTTCTTAAGAGTGTGCATCTTGCTTATGGTAAGAAATGCAGACTGAAAAAAAGTTTCACACCTGAAACATGACTTTTAAACACCTTCCCAGCTTCCCTTTCCTCTAGAACAGGTGCAGGTTAAAACAGTTCTGCTGTGCTTTACTCTTTTGGGGGAATTTAAGTAACAGCACAGTGACTCTGCAGGGCATTTTACTACTGAGATGCTAAACTCCTGCTCTGCCCAGTGTGTCCAGTCCTTGGAGGAACTGCAGAAAAGGAAATATCAAACCTCCAGCCTGTCAGCCTCTGAGTTCACATCATCAGACCATTCCTTTTGTATGAAACCTGCATTTTATTGTTCATCTGTGCACCTTCAGCATCTGTAGTAGAAGAGAAATAATCCTGTAGACTCTTAAATTAAGCAGGGGAATTGATTTCCCTAGAAATATGTGGGATAACAGCATCCATGACCCCTGCTCTCCTCCTGTGGTACTGGAAATCAAATTCTTAGTTCTCTGAGAAATCAGGCTGTGTGTTTTAAGTCTGGAATTTCTTAACTGTGCTGGTTGTACAGTAGCTGAGACCTGAGATGAGTGTCCTGCTCCTCAGTTTTTAGCAGCTGCTGTCCTCACACATCCCTGACCAGAGTTGGGTACACTTTAAGTACAATAAACAGACAAAATGGAGGTTCCAGCAGCACAGCCACATTCCTGCTGGTGATTACAACCAGGGAAATGATGGCTTCCTCATGTTCCATTGTGCTTTTGCCTTTAGTTCCTGGGTTTGCATTTGTTTTCCAGAGCTGACATGCTGTGGCCACTGCTGGGTCATTCCTTCAGCAGTTCTGGATCTGGGGATTGAAAGGGCACAGGAAGTAGCTCCGACAGCCTTTCCCAACACTTGGATAAACATAGAGGCTTTTGTTAAATTCCAAGGCTGATCCAATGTCAGTAAAATTGGCACAGCTGCCATGGGCCTGTGTGAACTGGCATGAGGTTATGATCCAACATTGCCCTTTTTTGGGCCAGGTCCTTCAAACTCTTCCCCTCCAGTGCTCTGGGGACTTGCAGCAGAACTTATGCATGTGAGAGTAACAGGATGGGGTCCTGGGTGTCACTGTGCTTCTTCCCTGTACCTTCTGAAGTGGGCTTGATGTTCCTCAGGCGCCCCAACATCTCCATGGGTCTTGTGGGAAGTTGCTGCTGCAGGACAGAGGAGGGTGGTGCTGGTGATGGGGCAAACTCACTCCATCCCTGACAAAACTTGGTCACTGCCACCTCCATATGTGCCTGTCCCAGGAGCTGGGGGGTGCAGGGGCACCAGCTTCTCCAGAAAGGGAGAACAGGGCTGCAGAGGGGTCTGGGAAGTGCAAAAGCCATTGGCAAACAACGAGCAGTTTCCAGGCAGGAGCTCTCACATGGATAGTGGGCAGCAGGAAAGGAGGTTTTACCAGGGCCTTTGGTTTTAGGTTTGATGGGGTTATTTTTTTCTCTTTTTTTTCCCTTTTCTTTTTTTCTTTACTTTTTTTTTTCTCCTGACCTTGGCTTTCCCTTTATTTGAAGGCTGCCGAAGCAGAGCAGCTGAGGCTGAGGAATGTGGGGGAGCTGAAGGAAGGAGTCCTTCACACTGACGCCTTTTGTGCTGCAATGTGTAAAAGGCTGAGGCTGTCACTGAAATGCAAATGTGGCTTTTCACTGATCTAAGCTCCATTTTTTTCCCAGTAAACAAGAATGCTGCATGTTTTAAAGGCTGCTTCCATCCGACGTTTTGGTGTGGCTTAAGTGCTGACCTCAGTTAATCACTGACAGCACATCACCATGAGCCTTGGGGCTCAGGAAGGATGGTACATCCCCCTTCTCAAGATGGGAAATGGAGACTGAGAAACAAAGTGGAATTGGGCAATTCTCATGTTTTTGGGTGGTGGTCCTATATCCTGGTCAGGGCCTTCTAACCTTGCTGAAGAGCACTTCCCCATGCTCATCTCTGCAGCACTCCCCAGTAAGAAACCCCATAGCAGATGGAAGTGTCACTGTCCCCTTTTTGAGCTCTGAATAACGTTTTAAATACATCCCCTGGCAGATCTGACCCTGGAGATTGAACCAAAGAGCCATTTCTCATCACCAGGGCTTGGGATCACCTTAGTCCCTATCCCAGAAGCTAAAACACTTCAATATTCACTGGGTCTGGGGGATTATTATCTTAAGCGTTATGTCAGCATTTACATGAGAGCCCCAGCTCTTGTCCCTGCTTTTAAATACACCATTTTTGCCAGTGAAGCATCTTTTCTGACCCACTGCTTGCTGGTTTGGGTCTGCAGCAGGACTTTGTAGTGGGAAGCCTGCCTGCTGGGAACCATCCCCTCTCACTTCTCTGCAAGTACAACAGTCTCTTCCTCCCTCGTATCAGCTGATTTTGAAGACAGAAAGTATTTTGCACCCAGCAGGCAGAGAAAGAGGAGGCAACCCATTAATGAGAGATGGAGATCTGAGCATGTCCCATTCCTCCTGAGGCTGCAGTTAGGGGATCCTATGTGTCTCCAGCAGGGTTTCACCACAGTTTGATCCCACATGTCCCCAGCAGTAAATCACAGTTTCTGGGCTGCTGTGAACACGTCAGTGGGGTTGGTGCCCAGGCAGCACCACCACCCTCGATCCCGATCATTATTTACAACATGTATTTATCAAACCAAATATTCAGCGGAGCCACCACCTGCAGCTCCTGGAGAGGCTGGGATGGTTGTGTCACAGGGTAAAGTGCAGGCAGGCTGTCCCGGCGGGTCCGTGTGGCTGACATGGCAGTCCTCGACTTGTCCCTTGTACCCGAGCTTGGACTTGAAACACGCCAGAGGAGCCACGTCCTAAAACCACCTTCTCTCCACACCAGCTCCAAGAGCAGCTGGGGTGCAGGGTCCCATGCACATATCGGGATGCTGGGTTTGGAGAAGGTGAATGCTGGTGCTGGAAGAGCACTCAAAGCTCCTACACCTTGTCCCACTCAGCTTCCCTGAAGAATTTAGGTGGGGAAGGAACGCTGGAAGTCACCTAATCCAAACACCGCTCAAAGCAGGGCACACATGGGGCTGCCTCAGGTCTGCATGTCTCAATGCTGGACACCTGAAGCACAGTTTAATCATTCTCGCTGTGAATTATCTTTTCCATCTAGTCGGAGTTTTCCCTGCTGCAGCCTGGGACTGCTGCATGCAATCCCCATGCTGGACACAGCCGTGTTTGAGGTGGGATTTATTTCCCTGAATGCTGTCCACACACGGACAGGCGAAGGGACATGTCCCCCGTTACCCCTGTCACCCCATTACCCGGAGTGAATCTCACCCTTCCGCAGGGACACACAGGGATTTGGGGCTGGAAGGAAGGAAGGAAGGAGGGAAGCCGAGGTGCGCGATCCCTCGAGGGCTGGGAACAGGGAGTGTGAGCAGTGAAGCTGCCTGAGGTGCTGCGCAGAAATTCCCCTCACGTCACCATTGCTCCTCCCGTGCTCCCCCCAATCCTTTTTTTTGCTCTTTGCAGGGCTTCACGTACCTGTTGTGCGGTGTCCTGGCTGCCCCCTGCTCCCGTCCCGCCGTCCAGAGGAGCAGGATGTCCCCTCTGGCCACCCACGGCCCTCCGGAGCCCGGAGGCGGCGAGCAGCGGCTGCTCCCTCAGGAGGCGGCCTCTGTCGCAGCCACGGCGACTGCCGGGCTCTCCCCGAAGGGGAGGGACCAAACTCTGCCTTAGTTTTCAGCTGAGACAATCTTTCTGGGAGAAATCTTCCCTGGGCCTGGAAAACAAGTTTCTGGCATGGAGCCATCCCCAACACAGCCTGCGCGTCCCAGCGGAGCCCGCGGCCGCCGAGGTGCTGGGCAGTGCCCCGGTACGGCAGGGACACGGTCATGTGTGGGCTCCTTGTCTGTGAGCTCTGGATCTCCCGGCAGGGGCTGGGTCAAGCAGCAGGAACCCCACGAGAAAATTCCCCCGGATGGGTTGCAACACCCCGTGGAGGAGCTGCAATGCCTGTGGCCGGGTGAGCGGCGGGGGACGGTGCTTTGGCTCAAGGTTGTGCTGTAAAAATACAAATCTTTTCCTCTGTCCTTATGAGAAGGGGATAACCGCAGTCTAGGGAGGCAGATCCCACTTTTGGGTACGACATCTGGGGTGGCTGAAGGGGGATTTAGCACAGGTCCCTGCTTGTGGGGCAGATCTGTGCTCACCCCCCCCCCCCCCCCCCCCCCCTTTGCTTAGTCCTGGCATTTGCCCCCTCAGTAATGCTGAATTCAGGGAATTCACCTGAAAAACAGTAATAAAATATTAATTTTGTGAGAGATCAATGGCTGTGAAATACCCCATGAGCTTCAAGGCTAGCAAAGGGAGGCAGCAGGGGAGGAGGGGAGGTAGAATTTGGCTTGGCTTAAATTGCTTATGAAGTTACCCCTGTGGGCTGTTCCCTTGGAGAGCTGCTGAGCTCCTGCCTTGGGATCAGCATCTTCCCTTCCCTTTGGATGTAGGTATGAGCTGAAGCTGGAAAAGAATAAGAAAGTTGCATGAAAAGGTCCAAGATTTTTTTTTTTCTTGTACTTTTGTCCAGTTCTCATTTCAGTGATGGGCTGGATGCATTAACATTTGACATTTTCAGGATAGATTTCATGTAGTTGAAATGTGTTGGAGAACAAGTCAGAATATCTCTTTTTAATCTAAAGGAACAGGTTCTTCAAGGTTAGTGAGAGACAATTAGGAGGAGGAAGCAGTACACAGATGGTTAGGGTAACAGAGATCCCATGATACTTTTTTGGCCCACTAGGGGCTCCAAAATTTATTTTTCTTTTTAATATATTCAGATTTTCCCAGATGTGCAGGAGTCAAACTCAGTAGAAGACAGATATGGGATTTTGGATCTTATCTACACAGTCCAGCCATCCAGGTGTGAAACAGGCTATGAATCTTAGTTTAGGACCATTCGTCCTTGCCCTATCATCTCTTTTAATAAGCTTAATTATTATTACCCCTTTTTATAATTTTCACCACAGAACATCAGAGGATGCTTGCATAAATGTTTCTGTCATTGCAACAGAATGCTACCACTAAGAGACCTGCAGCACTGGCAAGGGAGGAGCCAGTTCCCATGGTTAGTGAGCACAACAAACCTGTGACAAATGTTCAATGTAGCTTTAGCTACAAGTTCTTTATATAAAGAACTGCACTTTGCTGCAGATTTCTGTGTCTACAGACCAGAAGTCACCATCAGTCTGTGATCACTGGTTTGAAGATTTTTTTTTTATTTTTTTTTTTGCCTGTGATTCCTTTTTCCTTATTTTTGGACAAATCTTGGTTTCTCATGGTGCCTGTCTCATTTTTAATCCAGGTGCTGCTTGATCTATTGAAGCTGCTGAGAGGAGCTGACCCATTGGTGAACACCCACTGAACAACCATGCCTCTGTTAGCAGGTGCCTTCCTGAAGAGTGCAGCATGACAGAGCTCCATGAAGCCGTGGCTGTGGGCGACTATGACCTGGTGAAAAAGATTTTGAAGGCAGGGCGCTGCAACCCAAACCAGAAGGATGTCGACTGGCATGACAGGACCCCCCTGCACTGGGCTGCTGCCAAAGGTAAAGACACCCCCAGCTCTGCTGCCTCTGTGAATGGACATCATAAAAGGTGATGCTGATCACCTGCAACTTTATCTGGCAAAATCTCAGCTTGTATTTGGTAATTTTGTCCCTAATGAGCAAAAAAAGGTTAAATATCCATTTAAATGGGAACTTTGCTGACAAAATAGTTTATGGAACTGCTGTTGAAATTATTTTTAGCTTTTTTCTTCCATCCACACCAATTTGCAATTTACATGATGTACACATAGGGAATGGCTGCTTTTCCCCCCCTTACTTTTCTAAGAGATGACTCCATGGGTTTATTTCTCATGTACACCTGTGGGAAAGAGCAGGAAGTCAAACCCACTGTATTTACACCGTGTATTTATCAAACCAAATAGAAAAAAATAATAACTGTGTTTTTACATTGCTCTTTATATTCCACCTCTTGAATGAACAATGCAGGACCAGAGCTGTTTGCAGCTCCCATTTGGTCCTTCACCTTCAGAAGTGTCTGGTAAACTCAAATATGCCTTTACAGCCCAAAAAAGAGATGATGCAACAATAAATAATGTATAATTGTACACAGTGTAAAATGGGAAACTAGACCTCTACTCCTCTGTGATACAGTGTTTGTTGGGATCTCATGTCATCATATCTGTCTTTGCTCAGAAATCAAGTGTGTGATTTCCTGTTTTACACTTAAAATCATGTTTTTGTTTTGTTCTGATGGATTATTAGGCATTTAAACATCAGCAAAGGGGACTGAGCCGCTTAACAAAAATGAGTGAGAAGCTGACAGAGTCTAGATGTGATTTGGAATAGTCTAGCTCAGTCAAGGCAGTGTGAAGTGGTGTAGAAATAACTTTTTTTGCTTCTTTAAGGAATTTCACTAGTTAGAAAAATGTGAAGGTGAATGAAAAAAGCAGTAGTTTCTCTACCTGCTATCCAAAAAAACTTTGTTTTAGTAAAGCTGTTCACAGATTTTTCCATTCTCAATGTTGAAATTTTATTTTGCAATTGAACTAAAAACCAAAATGAAGCAATGAAATAGCCAATTGGTCAATGACTAATTGACATGTGCTGTTCAGAAATTAGAAAGCTTTTTGATTTGGTTGTTTTTGTTGTAAATTTCTTCTGGAAACAGTCTAGTTTGGGAGAAAATAACCAGCATTTTCTATGCTGGTTAGCATATCAGTATCACTGATGTGATAAACCAAATAGTCAGGTGGGTGAAATCCTTGTCTGAGGGAATTATGACCAGCTGTGTGTGACCACCCTCTGCATCCTGAAGATATAAATTCTAAAGCATCTTCTCTCCCTGTTTTGCTGCGCGTTGCCAGGGCGGCCGGACCTGGTCAGGCTCCTGGTGGATCACGGTGCCCGGCACTGCCTGCGGAGCGATGTGGGCTGGACCGCGGCTCACTTCGCTGCCGAGGCGGGGAAGCTGCCGGTGCTCCGCGCCCTTCACTCCCTGCACGCTGCTATGGATGCCGCCGACCTCTTCGGAGACACTCCACGGAGGCTCGCGGAGATCTACGGACACCGGGAGTGCTCCAAATTCTTGGAAAAGTGAGTGGTGGTGGCAGGTCTTGCTGCGGCTGCGGTGAAAATTAACCTCACTGCCCAACAGAGGACCAGAACACACACAGTGTGTTACTTACCTTCCCACCCAAAGCCTGCTAAAGCTCTGACACACAGGCTGTAGTGGACGAGCAAACATGGGCCTGTCACGGGGAAGCCGTGAGAAGACATTCTTTTATTCCCCTGCCTCCTGCGGTTTCCCTTAGTATGTTTTCAAAATCGTTACCACTTCATGACATCACTGTTTTTGTAAGGATGTTGCAGAGCCCTTATTAAGCAACAGAAATGAAAGCAACAACTGACAAGTGTTAACCCCTTACAGTGGTGAATAGCAAATACACGGGTTGAGTTGTTTAGGAACAGCCCTCTGCAGCTGTGTGTGTCTGTGTGTGTATATATATTTATATGTATATCATTTGGCTTTCTTATAGTAAAGAAAAAAAGCCACCCTATTTTTTACATAATCACTGTAAATTAGACCATTTAATAGCACAATCATATAGTACTTCCAAATTTTGGGAAAAGCCGTGCTGTCTTAATTGCTTACAGTTAACACTATGGCAGTACATGCCATAAGAAATATGCTTTTTAATGATTCCCAATTACCATTCCTGTTTTTCAGCTGTTGGCTTGACTCACAGGTATTTTCATCCTTGCAAAGGTGTTTCCCTGGATCAGGATGCTTTACTGCAGAAGTTTGAACTGTGTCCCATCCTGTATCTCTCTAAAGGAGTGGGACAGATCACCAGAGGTCAACAGCTTGTTCAGTGCAAGCCACAGTCCCAACACTGCTTTAATTTGATACACTGCCCACAAAAAATATACTGCCAGACACTGGAGTGCTGAGAGCTCCCAAAGGTGTTTTCTGCCTGGGTTTTTCTGTAACTTTACAGTCCCATCATCATCCTTCACTGGCATCTCTTTTACCACTTCCACATTCTCAAGACTGCTTTGGTACCATGAATATCCTGTATTTTTTAATAGACATTTATCCAACTCAAAGTATCTAACTTGCCAGTGCAGCACGTAAGCTGCCAAGTTCAAAATCAGGCATGGTGACAGGCAAATATCTGAGGAGGCCAGTGCCTCACAAATGCCACTTTTCATTAATCCATATAAACTTTTCTGTAGGTACTGCTGTCCTTCTGCTGTACTTCTACAGCTTAGTTCCTGCTGAAATGCCCCATGCCCACCTTTTATCTTGACACATGAGAGTCCTTCCATAAGAAAATACAACCAAACTGCAGAATTCCCCTGTAAGAGCTCAGAAAACTCTGTAGCGGAGGCACAAGCTCTGGTTTCCAAGCTCTGGCTGTTGGAAGCTGCTGATAGCTTTGCATTTTAACTGCCCACCCAAACACAGAATAATAGAACGGTTGGAAGGGACATTAAAGCTCATCTCATTCCAATCCCTTACCATGGACAGGGACCCCTTCCACTAGACCAGATTGCTCAAAGCCCTTTCCGCTGTGATGGAGCTGAATACCCAGAGTGGGGCATCCAGACTATCTTAGAGCTTAAAGCCTTTTTGGTTTTGGAACTGACATGCTGTCATCTCCCACTATTCACCACTTTCCTTCCACACAGATGTATCAGCTCTTCTTATTCTCAGACCTTCAGTTTAAAGGCATTTAGGCAGCCAGCAGCTGATAAGGAAGCTTTGAAAATTAGATTTTTTTACTACCTAGCCAATGTCTAGGTAGTAAAGCTCAGGTATGAGAATGGGGCATTGTCTTCCAGTAGAGATTCTCTTTATACTCTTTTCAGCTCTTGGCATACTTAGTTTCTATACCAGAACAGGTAAATATTATCTAACCTAGAGGGTGAAAGTCTGCAGACTTCTTTCCCTTAGATGAAAAACTTATAGCAATTACTTGCTTATTCAATGCTGTCCATTTTGCACTAATCTCACCAGTAATTCCTGCCAAGTCTGTAGCATTTGCTATGCTCTGGATGTGCTCCAGAGCCATGGGAGTGAGCTGACAGCAGTGGTAGGGGAATTGCCTGGATGATGCCAAAGGGCAATGCCTGTGGCAGGCAGAGGTGCCTGGGAGAATCACTGACAGATTGATTGACAGAATGATTGACATCCTGGTCTGAGACATGTTAGCAACAGCCTATGGTGACTGAGGTCAGCTGATGAAGGGCTTTCTGTGGTGAATGACTGATTTAAGGTGGAAAACTTTTCTTTCAGAACCGCATGCTGGCCTGACTCACCCCACAGGTGCATGGCTCAGCATGGCTGGGAGATCTAATGACGAGGAAGATGCTTCAAATGCCCACTCTAGAACATTTTATAATACACTAAAGGCTTGTACAATCATCTCATGGCTATAACCCAGCCTGTGGGCAGCCAAGAGTTTATCACTGAAGCTCAGGAATGCTTTTTAAAAACAGTCACTATAATTTATGACCACAGTGGATGCTTTCACCTTCACACACTGGTGTCACATCACCAAACTTGGAGTAAACTAGGAGGAACGGTTGTCACTTGTAGTGTAATTTCGATTACAGTCTGCTCCTTCAGATGTGCAGAAGGTCCCAGAGGTGATGTCCAGGGTCAGGCAGTGCCAAAGGGTACAGGTCAGTACTGTGTGTGGTGCAGACAGAGAAATAAGAGTGTGCTTGCACAAAATGCTGCACAGCACAGAGCAGCTCTGCTCTCCACTCAGTGGTGTGTGTGGGATATAAATATGAGGAACATTTTGTTACACACCCTCCCTGTCAGTTTTGGATATTTGTCTGTCACACAAAAAGAGAGAAAAGGCAATTTTTAAAACCATCTGAGGGTCTGCACCAACTGCAGGGCTGATGTGCATATCTACACAGATCTATGAGCATTCTAATCCTTCCTGAATCCAAATTCAGCCCACTCTAGCACCATGTGACCCTTGCATGCTGTTTGTTGGTCCCCAGGTGTTGCCAGCTGGATGAACTACCTGCCTCCCTGGGCTGGGCCACTGAATTATGCTGAGGACTGCACCCACATGGAAATATTACATGTATCAACATGGAAATATTATTAACATGCAAATATTAGGAATATTCTGCTGCTGAGTATCAGTTCCATTCATGGAGGTTTGCATGAACATGCAAAAGTTAGGAAACAGCTGCTTTCAAAACAGCTGCTTCTGAATAGCAAATGCATATTTTGCATTAGATTTGGTTTGCTTGAGAAGGGCTTTACTCTTGATGTTATGAAACCTGCCAAGAATGGCACAGAGACCCTCAGCCCGTGTCTGCTGCCAGCCTCTCTGCAAAGTGCCAGCTGTTGAAATTGTACCAAAGGGTCCTGCTATCTAAGAGTAGGGCATGTATATACTCATGTGTAAACAAATAAATAAATAAATAAATGTTTATATTTAAAAATGTATAGGAAAAGGTTTCTTGCCCTTGCGAGCAGATACTTAATAGAAGACAATAGGGTAATTCAGTTGGAAGGGACCTACTGCTAGTCCTGTGGCCTGACCACTTCAGGACTGACCAGAATTTAAAGCACCTTATGAAGGGCATTTTCCAAATGCCTCTTAAACACCAGCAGCCATGGGGCATCAACCACCACTGTCAAACATTGGCTCTTTGGAGACCTTAGAGCACCTTTCAGTACCTGAAGAGAGCCTACAAGAGAGCTGGAGAGGGACTTTGGACAAGGGCATAGACAAGGGGGAATGGCCTGGGTAGGTAGGATTAGATATATTAAGAATAAATTATTGCCTGTGAGGGTGGTCAGGCTCTGGCACAGGTTGCCCAGAAAAGCTGTGGCTGCCCCATCCCTGGAAGTGTTCAAGGCCAAGCTGGGTGGGGCTTTGAGCAACCTGGTCTAGGGGAAGGTGTCCCTGTCCATGGCAGAAGGTATGGAATGAGATAATGTCCCTTCCAACTGAAACCATTCTGTGATTCTATGACATAGAAAGCGCACATGATGAGATCCATCAGTATGGAGCTGCTGGCTTTGCTCTGTGCTGTCAGCTAGAACAGCATTGCACTCATGTGACAGAAATGCTCTATTACAAAAAAAAAAAAGGATTTTTCCTGATATTGGATGGTGTTTCTGACAGAGATTCCTGAATCCTGAGTGCCTACAAAATCAGAGCCCTGCAGGAAGAGGAAAGAGTTTGTCTTCTCTTGTGGAAGATTTACACTTGGAATGTCCATGTCTAGATCCAGGCAGTGCTGGGGCCCAGGGGCTCCCTGTGAGGGGAGTGTGCAGGGTGGCTGTGCTGATGGACACCCTGTCCCCTCCAGAGCCAGCTGAGTGGGGCTGGTGCACAGGACAGGGATTCTGTGCTGGCTGTCACATTCTCAGGGGTTTCATGGGGATGTAAGGAGGGACCCCAGTGTCGTTCTCTGGGACTGTGGTGTTTGTGTGGTAACATCTGCAAGGTGCTGGATTTTCCTGCTGAGTCTTGCAGTATGTAAGGTTGTGAGGGATGGATGTAGGACATAAGATGGATCTTTCAGGGCTTTCCTGTGAAAGTGTTGGGATTGTCATGTTAAAGGATGAAGTTCATGAGCAGCAGCAGAGGAAGAAGGGATGTGTGGCTGTTTCTGTCCTTTCGAGGGCATTCAGAGAGGGGAAATGTGTCCAGAAGAGCTGCTTACGATTTGGCTCTGGTCCTGAGTTGGTGGTAGAAGTGACCAGTTCAGGTTCTGCTCTGTTCTGTATGTTTCACCCGCTGTGGGGGGTCGGCCTTAGGGAGCAGCCAGACACCCACTCAGCTGTTCCTTCACTGTCACCCATAAACAGGGTGGAAAATAGGATGGAAAAGCTGATGGATCAGGATAAAGACAGTGAAATCACTCATCAATTACTGTCACAGACAAAACAGGCTTGATGTGAAGAAAATGAATTTATTTACCTATTGAAAGTACAATAGGATGATGAGAAATAAACACAAACTAGAACCCACTGCTTCCACCACCCTTTCATCCAAAGCTCAACTTCCCTCCTTCATCCCCAGCTCCTCCCCCACAGCAGCACAGGGGGAAGGAAAATGAAAGTGCAGTCAGTTCACAGTGAGTTGTCTCCACTCCCTTTTCATGCTGTTTCCCTGCCCCAGAACAAAACCTGGGAGTTTTACTGAGTCAGAGTGCACTGGGAAAAGCCAATCTCATCTCCAGGTCAGGCCAGGAGAGCAGCCCCACAGAGCAGGCAATGCTGTCCTTGCAGGCAGTGGGGCACAGGGGACACGCAGGGCTGCAGTGGGAAGGGGGCTCTGCACCCCCTGAGCTCCCAGGGGCCGTTCCTCTCTCACTGTTTGTGGGTCAGTGACCACCTCTGGTGAGTGCCAGGGCTCAGCGTGTTCACACAGAGCTATCAGCCACTGCCAGACTGTGACACAGCCCAGAACAGATCACACAGCACAGGGCCACAGCAGAAGGAAAGGTAAACCAAAATAGAGATAAACCCTGTAGTTGATTTCAGTTGTTTGAATGAGAAAACGCCAGAGCATTTGGTGGTCAGTTTGCAGTATTTTTATTGCCCTTTTACAGCTAGCGCCTGTACCAGTTCTAAATAACTTTGTTACTGACAATAATTAAATTCAAAGAATTATCTACATGAAATTATAATTGAAAATATATTATGTAAGTCACATTAATTTAGTTCATAGTATTTGAATGATATATTCTTAATATCAGTGATGAGAACGTTTGTATCATCTATAATGCTTGGAGAGTTGCACTAGAGATTAAACTACTTGTTTTCTATAATGAAGTATTACCATTTTTTATGGGCTCCAGATTTTACTGGAGTTCCTGACTTATGCACACCTTGCACTTAACACTTCTTTCTAAGGGAAGAATCTTTAGCAGTGTGTTTTCTAATTTGGGATTGCTGAAAACCAGAATAAGGGAGTGCAGACCCGGAAAAATGTACTGAAATACTACAATGAGAAATGTCATATGATTTCTCTTCTTTGTAACATAAACCATATTTAAGACCAAACATACAAAATTGATGCTGTACATCACGAAGAAGGAGAAAATAGATTTCATGGCTCTGATGTGGGCATCCATGCTGAGGTCCTTCATGGAGTTTGTCTGCATCCTGCGCTTGTGTCTCCAGAGAGAAAAGAGAAGGAAAACAGCAGAAAATATGACAACCATGAATGAAGCAGCATATTCAAAGCCAGTAAGAAAAAAAGAAGGGAAAAATTTTTTATCCATTTTGATATTTGCTGTCCCAAAATTTCCTCGTCCAGTGGAATTGCTGTTGCAGAGCGGTTTATCAGCGATGTCATAGGCAACGATGCCAACAGCCAGAGCTAAAATCCCTGATGCCAACAGAAGCCAGGGCACCATCCTGTCAATTTTTCCTTTCAGATAGATGAAGGACCTGTTCCTGAAATTGGCAATTTTTATACAATAAAAAGTACAAAGAGATGCAGAAAACCACAAGTTGCAATGATTAAAAAAGGCTTGAAAAAATATAGCTAGTTGAAGTATGCTGTGAACATAAAGGTAATTGGGATAAATAAAGGAAAGAAATTTATATACCCAGGAGATGCACAAATACCAAAACCTGGAGCATCCCAGCAGCAGCAAGATCTTCTCATTAGAGTTCAGAGTTTTCTTTTGGACCCAGGCAATGCAAAGCACACAAACGATGAAAGCATTTATCCACATGCCAGCGAGCACCTCCAGGGTGATGATGGTCACAGTTAAGACCCGAGATGAAGTGACATTGGATTGCTGTGGAGAGGGAGAAGCTTCCATGGTGTGAGCTGGGGAGCAGAGCTGTGCTGGCCAAGGGGGCTGTGGCAGCAGAGCCTGAGGCAGGTCAGTGGCTGCTGCTGGTGGAGTGTCAGGGATGGCAAGAGCAGCTTTATAGAGCTGCTGCTGCTGCTGCTGCTGCTGGGGGGATTTTGGTGGCGCTGCTCTGGGCAGCAGGGCAGGTGCAGGGATGTAAATGTGCTGGGTATCCCCTTACCCAGGGCCAGTGTCACTCTTGTCTATTTGAATGTTGGTTCAGGGGGGCTGTGCTGGGTGTCACAAACAGAAGAGATGTTTTTGTGTGGTGGAGAGTGTTGTGATTTTGAGAGTGATCCCTGTTTGATCAGTGTCAGGCTTCAGGATCTGGGCTCTTCTATTCCTTTGTCACCTACTATGTCCAATTTTATTTTTGATTGCACTAAATTTTTAATTGTTATTTCTTTTATTATTTTTTTACATTTATGATAGGCAGACTATTGCCTTGAGGGAATTTTTGATTTCCTGATAGTGCCTGTTCTCTGCTTAAGGCTTTCCTCCTCTTTTCCTGAAAACACTCTGTGGGGTTGTTGGGTTTTTTCCCTTGTTTGTTTGATTGATTGCTTGCTTCTTTCTTTTTCTCTCCATATCTTTGTGAATAGAAGTTATTTCTATTACAACAGTGTGTAGTTAAACTGTCTGTACTGGGACAGTGCAGGACCACACCATGGCTGAATTTTGGGCTCTGTTCTGGGGAATCTGGCACCTTGAAAATAAATTAATATAACATCAGAGTCTCAACTACCAGGTTTTCAGTGCATGGAATGTGTGGATTGGTTCTTTAAAACACAAGGTCTGCTTTTAGTTCAAAGCCTTCCCCTCCAGTGTCATTGGAGAAGGGGAGAGATTCACCAAGACTTTGTACCTACCATCCCTGTAGAGACTGTGTGGTCTTAGGAAAAGGAAATATTGTAGTGATTAAGATGTTACTCTGGTTTAAAAGGTTGTTTCGCTCATTTCATGAACAGGAGCAAATATTTTTGAAGGTGATAATATGAAAAATGCACACCTGGCACTGCGTATGCAGTAAATTGTCCCTCTGAGCCAGAGCTGGTGAAAGAAATCAACAGATTCTGTTCTGTTGATGCTGGAATTATTTAATATTTACATGACCTGCTGTGGATTGTTAAACTTGATACCTGCCAGATCCTCCACCCAGCCTCTTCTTCACCCTTGCTCTGCAACAGGTCAAGAGGGAAAATAGAAGATGGAAAAGCTCATGGGTTCAGATAAGGACAGGGAGATCACCTGCCAGTTACTCTCATGGAGAAAACAGACTCAAATTTCCAAAAATCAATTTAATTTATTGCTGTTTGAATATAGAGTAGGATGGTGAGGAACAAACACAAAACAAGAGCACTGTCCCTTCCACCCTTCATCACAGCTCAAAATTCACTCTTTCATTCCCACCTTCTCCACCTCCTCCCCAGCATGGTGCAGGGTGACATTGAATAAGGGTTGCAGTCAGTCCATAAAAAGTTCTCTCTTCCACTCCTTCCTCTTCATGCTCTCTTCCCTGCTAGAGTGTGGACCCCATCTGTGGGCTGCAGTCCTTCAGGATCAGATGTCTCCAATATGGGTGCTCCTCAGACTGCAGTTCTTCAAGGTACAGCCATCCCACCCAGTGTTACAAGTGGAAATATTGCAAAAAACAGAGACACAGCAGAAAGAAATAGAAATCCAAACACAAATAAACCTGATGCTGAGTTCAGTAATTTTTCAATCAGCAAATGCCAAAGCGCTTGAGGAAGGTTTGCAGTGCTCTTATTGCCCCTTTGCATCCAGCCCATGTGCTAGATCTAGATGAATTTGTTATTGATAAGAATTGAACTCAGAGAATTACCAAAATGAAATACTAGTAGTAATCTAATTCATACTCATTTGTTTCAAAGAATCTGAAAGATTTATTCTTAACTTTGGTGCTAAAGAGAGAACATCTGTATCATCTACACTGCCCAGAGAGTTGCATTAGAGATAAACTGACTTTTGTCTTATAGTGAAATATGAAGAATTTGCGTAGGCTCCAGCATTTATTACAGTTCCTACCTCATGCAATCCTTCCACTTGACACAGGATAGAATCCTTACCAGTGTCTTTTCCAGCTTGGGATTGCTGAAAATCAGAATAAGGGAATGAACACCTGGAAAAGCATACAAAAATAGTAAACTAAGAAATGCCACATGATTTTCTTCCTTTGTTGAAGGAATGAGTGACAGGATCAAAACTATGAAGTTAATACTATACATTATAAAAAAGGAGAGAATAGATTTCATGGCTTTGATGTGGGCATCCATGCTGAGGGTCTTCATGGAATTTTTCTGCATCTTGCATTTGTGTTTCCAGAGAGAAAAAAGAAGGAGAAGGGCAGAACAGGTGACTGCTGCAAACGATGTGACAAATCCAAAGCCATAGATAAAATATATCTGAAAAAAATTTTCATCCATTTGGACACTGACTGTTGAAAAAATTCCTTGCCCAGTGGAATTGTGGTCAATACTGAGCTTTGTAACAGCTATGTCATAGGCAGTAATGCCGATAGCCAAGGCTGAAAGCAATGATGCCAACAAAAGCCAGGGCACAATCCTGTCTGTTTTTACTTTCAGGGAGATGAAGAACCTGTTCCTGAAATTGGCAATTTTTATACAATAAAAAACACAAAGAGAGGCTGAAACCCACAAGTTGAAACAATTAGAAAAGCTTTGAAAAAATACAATTAGTTGAAACGTGGGTTGAACATAAAGGTAATTGGGATAAGTTATTGAAAGGGAGCAATATAGCCATGAGAAGCACAAATAGAGCAGGGCAGGTGCAGGGATGTAAATGTGCTGGGTATCCCCTTACCTGGAGCCACTGGCACTCTTGACTATTTGAATGTTGGTTCAGGGGGGCTGTGCTGGGTGTCACAAACAACGGAGATGTTTTTGTGTGGTGGAGAGTGTTGTGATTTTGAGAGTGATCCCTGTTTGATCAGTGTCAGGCTTCAGGATCTGGGTTCTTCTGTCCCTTGATAACCTCCAATAAAGAAGTCAGTTTTGGATGTATTAATTCAAAACTATTCTTTATTTTGTAATTTTTTTTATGTTGATGGTGGGCAGAGCACTGCCTTGACAGAATTTCCTGATATTCCTGTTGTCTGCCTTATGCTTTGATGCGTGTTACCTCTCTGGTTTTGCTGATAGAAGAAAAACATAGCACAGGATTCTTTCTTTCCTTTCCTTTCTCTTTTCTTCCTTTCCTTTCCTTTCCTTTCCTTTCCTTTCCTTTCCTTTCCTTTCCTTTCCTTTCCTTTCCTTTCCTTTCCTTTCCTTTCCTTTCCTTTCCTTTCCTTTCCTTTCCTTTCTTCCCATATGTTGTGAGGTGTATGGAAGTTATTCCCATTACAAGAGGAATGTGAATATGAAACTGTCTGTACTGGGATTGTTCTTTGTACAGAGATATTAAATGAAAATTTTAATTAATTAAATTAAATTGCAACACAATACCATGATTGGGATCTGGCCTCAACTCTTTGTGGGGAATATTTCACCTTAGAAAAATAATGCTATAAAAACAGAGTCTCCAATGCTGGATTTTCAAGCTTGAAGACATGGATTAGGTGCTTGACCTGCAGGTGTTTTCTGCTGGTTCAAATCCACCCCCTCCAGTATATTTTGACAAGGAGAAGGATTATCCAACACTTTGTATCTCCCACCCATGTACACATTTTGGATGCCCTTGTGCATCTCAAATGGCATAAGACTCCCTGGTTTTGTGCATCTGGATGGACACACAGCTGTATTGGGATCTGAGTCACATCACACGGATAATAAATTGGTACCATCTGTGCTTGTTCAGGCCGAGCCTCTTTCCTCTCCAGAATCTGTTTCTTTCTCCCTTTAGGACATGGGGAATCCCAGATGATTAGCCTTAGTTAGCTAGCTAGTTAGGTGAACGGTTGCCTAAGTTCTGGCCCATTCCATTACAGCTGTGTATCAACTCTAATGCAAAATGTTTATGTCCTTAACAACTGGAGAGGAATGCTCTGAGAATCAGTTCCCACAGAGGGAAATTTCCTGTTGTGCCTATCCCAGGTGACACCTGGAGAAATAAGATTTTTTTGTTGTGGAATCCCTGTATGATTAGCCTTAGATAAAGCCTGGGGATTTTTTTCCAGATCCCCAGGGGGCTTCTGTACCATGTTTGATTGAGTTTTGCTGCATTAATGGCTATGTTACTGCTGGCCAGCCCAAGCAGTGCAGCTGTGCCCCAGCAGATGTTCCAAATGTGCCCCAGTGACAACCCAGATGCTGAGGAGTGGCAGATTGAACTGGTATCAGTGAATCTGGCTGAGATCTCCATCCAGATCATGAAGTCAGGAAATCCTAATCTCAAGAACCTGCATTCTGATCTCCTGCACCCTTCCTGCCTTATCTCTTCTTAACAGTCCCAGCTCAGTACAAGCAGGGAGGAAATGCAGATATTTTACAAGTAAAATAATTCAGAGCATCCTCCCTTCTTGTTTTCACCGAATTTTGGCACTATTTTAAATTCACAAAAAAAAAAAAAAAAAAAGTTACAACCTGTACATGGCTGTACATGTGCAATGTACAATGTAAACCTGACAATTTACAATGTAAACCTTTACAAGGTAAACCTGACATGGTGCAGCAGTGTGTCTGTGTCAAACCTCTGTCTTTGCTCCATGCTCTCAGCCACGACAGCATTGCAGTGGTGGGACAGAGCTGCTGTATTAAAGAAAAAGGATTTTTCCTGATATTTGATGGTCTTGTGGAGAGAGCTCCATAAACCCTGAGTGCCTACAAAATCAGAGCCTTTTAGGAAGAGGAAAGGGTTTGTCTTCTCTTGGGGAAGATTTACACTTGGAATGTCCATGTCTGGATCCAGGCAGTGCTGGGGCCCAGGGGTTCCCTCTGAGGGGAGGTTGGGGCTGCACCACACTGGGCACACTGTGGTGTTTCCTCAAGTGTTGGTGGCATCAGGGTTTTGACCAGACCAAGGCACAACCTCTGACCCTGTAGATGGGCCCCTGTGAGTGCAGCTGTGTCTGTGCTGGACCGTACTGTACAGGTGTAGAGCAGGAATTGCCACAGGAAAGTCCCAGTAAGAGGAATCCCCGTGAGACCAGAGAGGTGAAGACTGGGAACTCCAAAAAGAAGGGCTTGAGAGAAACCTGCCATGTTTTCTGGAGAACTGCACAACCTCTGCTCAAAGGAAAAATGGAACTAAAAGGGGGAAGCAGTAGTGTTTTGTGTCTCTTTGGTAGCCTCTGGTGGTGCCTCTTTTTTTTTTTTTTTTGGTAGTGGGATTGAGGTGGTGCTTCCCTCTCCCGTTTTCAGGCTGTGAGCAGAGAAATCTTTGCTAGGCCTCAGCCTTGATGAGCAGCACCTGGGCCCAGCTCCTCTTGAGCTTTTCAGAACTACTGTCTGCTGCCAGGAACTGCTGCTGCCTCATGAGATCCTGGGCTTTTTTTATGAACAGCCTAAGAAATCACTTTTTTTATTTTTTTGCCTGAATGACATAACATCCTGGTTCTCACACTTTCAAAGAGTGTCGAACTGAAGTGCAGCCAGGATGAAACATTGTTATGACTAAAGCCCACTTTCTTGCAGGCCCTATAAACAAAAATGAGGGTCCAAAATGAGGCCTTTTGAGCTCTCCTAGCATGCTGTGACCAGTGGGGCCTTACATAGCTGGGAACTCTCAAGTTTGCCGTACTCAAGAGATCCTGGAACAACAACCGGTCCTGGGCCGATACCCCCACTCCTCGAGGCTCAACCCTCGGCCTGGTGATGAGATGTAAAGACATCCAAAGTGAATATTTCACTGCCTTTGAGGGGAATTTTTCACAGGTACCTTGCAGTGACTCTTTCTGTCTGTGTGCATGCAGATGTGAATATGCTTTGACAAACATGGGAGAAATGCTGCTCTCTTAGATGTTTAAGTATCTTAGATATTTATGTAAGTTAGGCCTGCAAATAAGTTTAATATAAGCTAAAAGCTAAGTTAAATGCTGTTAAGTGCTATTGCTTTGCTAAATTCTTAAATTTAGTATGAAAGTTGAGTACTTTTGAGTGTTGTTGAGCTTTGAAGCCATATTCCTTTTTATCCTTGCCCTTTCTGTCATTTTGTTGCACACACTGAAACATGCATACACACACACACACACACACACACACACACACACACACACACACAGATAGTCCTCAGTTCATTTCTGTTTTCATTGATGGGATTTTTTTCGTTTTTTTTAGCCTTGGTGTGCCTTAATTATCCAGTAAGTAGTAGAGTAAATCTTGCCAATAAACTTCATCATGTTCTTGGTTATTATTAAATCTGTTTTTTACTGATTTTTACCCCTGCCAGTGATTTTTGAAGCAATCTCAAACACTCATTTTGTAACAGGGCTGTAGTTGCTTCTGGCTGAAGGGGAGACGTTGATGTTGGGCTTTCTCTGGACACGTGGGTTGAACAGACTGTAACTCCCATTCCTGGCCCAGAAAAAGAGAACAGGTGCTCATCACTTCTTTCATGTCTCTATGACTTTCAAGAATGTTGGAGCACTGTCTTGTTTTTAGCAGTGCCCCCAGCCCTTTTTATGTCTCTGCGCAGGGGAATGCTGTGTCCAGAAGACCTTGGGCTTTAGCTCCTCCCTTGTCTGAGGGAGGCCTCAGATGTTTGGTCTCCACCCCTGGCAGATGCTTTCCTCCTGGAAGAACAAGAGGCCAAACAAACCCTGCCAAGAATGGGTGGAAAATGCACCACTGGCACCAGGCACAGGATAAGATGTCCCTCCGTGCCTAAGCTAGTGACAGAAATGAACAAACCAGATTCTGCTCTGTTCATGCTGGAATTATTTCATCTTGAGAGAATGTGCTGGGGTTTGTTGAGCTTGGGCAGGTGCCATGCCCCCACTCAGCTGCTCCTTTATTCTTGTTCTGCAGTAGGCCAAGGGTAGAATACAAGGTGTTACTGTCATGGAGGAAACAGACTTGAGTTGAGAAAAATGAATTTAGTTTATTGGCTGATAATAGAGTAGCATAATGAGCAACAAGCACAAAACTCGGAGCCCTTTGCCTTCCCCTCTTCATCTTCACAAAACAAAATTCACTCTTTCATTCCTGGCTTCTCCACCTCCTCTGCCACAGTGGTGTGGGGGGATGGGGAATGAGGGGTGCAGTCAGTCCATAAAAAGTTTTTCACTCCTTCCTCTTCACTTTCTTCCATGCTCAAGTGTGAATCCCATCTGTAGGTTGCAGTCCTTCAGGATCAGGCAGCTCTGACAAGGGGTCGCTATAGGCTGTAGTCTTTCAAGTTGCACCCACCATCCAAATGTTGCAAGTGATAATATTACAAAAAACAGAGACACAGCAGAAAGAAATGTAAACCCAAACACAAATAAACCTGATGTGAGTACAGTCATTTTTCAATCAGCAAATGCCAAAGTGCTTGAGGAAGGTTTGCAGTACTCTTGTTGTCCCTTTGCATCCAGCCCATGTGCTAGATCTAGATGAATTTGTTATTGACAAGAACTGAACTCAGAGAATTACCTGAATGAATTACTTGAATTACCTAAATGAGCTGCTACCAATAATCTGTCATACTTATTTGTTTCAAAGAATTTCAAAGATTTATTCTTAACTTCAGCAGTAAAGAGAGAACATCTGTATCATCTGCCTGGAGATTTCCATTACAGATAAATTGACTTTTGTCTTATAATGAAATATCAAGATTTTGTGTGGGCTCCGGCTTTTATTACAGTTCCTACCTCATGCAATCCTTGCACTTGACACAGGATAGAATCCTTATCAGTGTCTTTTCCAGTTTAGGATTGCTGAAAATCAAAATAAGGGAATGAACACCTGGAAAAGCATACAGAAATGCAAAAATAAGAAAAGCCACATGATTTTCTTCCTTCCTTGCATAAATTAGTGTCAAAATAAAAAATATAAAGTTGATGCTGTGCATTACTAAGAAGGAGAGAATAGATTTCATGGCTTTGATGTGGGCATCCATGCTGGGGGTCTTCATGGAGTTTGTATGCATCTTGCATTTGTGTCTCCAGAGAGAAAAGAGAAGGAGAAGGGCGGGAAAGACAACTGCTGTTAATGAAGTGGAAAGCACAAATCCTATGTCAAAAAAAAAAAAATATATATATATATATAGGCAGTAAAGGTCATACAGTCTGATAATGTGTTTCAGATAATATCCTTGACTACTGTCATTGTGATTGTTACACTGTGTTTCATAAGAGATGTGGTAGACAAGAATACTGAAAATAAAGGCCAAAAGCACAGATTCAGTGTGAGCCATGGCACAATCTTGTCAGTTTTTACTTCTGCATAAATGAAGAAGCTGTTCCTGAAATTGACAATTTGTATACAATAAAAAACATGCAAAGACTGGCTGAAACTCATACGTTTGAACAATCAAAAAAGCTTTGAAAAACTGCAAGCGATTCATGTAGGAGAAGAACACAAAAGTAATAGGGATGTATTATTAAAAGAAAAGAATATACCCATGAGATTCATAAATATCAAAACCTGCAGCATCCCAATAGCAGCAAGATCTTCTCATTAGAGTTCAGAGTTTTCTTTTTGACCCAGCCAATGCAAAGCACAGAAACAAGGAAAGCACTGATCCAGTAAATGCCTGGAGGGTGATTGTCTTAGGTTGTGAGGTGTAGCTGGGAGTCTATATTCTATTGCCATCTGTTAGAGGTGGGGAAGTTTTCTTCTCTTAATTGGGCCACCTGTTAAAACGAGATGGGACAGTTTTCTTTATCTTTTCCAAGACCAATTCTCCCTCAGGGGAGATCTCTACTGTTAATGGGCTATTGAGTGTCACTGCACTGACTGATGAAATTCCATCATCCCATTGGGAGATGCTCCACCCAGGGGGAGGAGCCAAGCATTCTTACCTGGATAGAATCTGAGATTTAGAGCACTAAAGGTAGCCTTTTCCCACTGGGTTCCGAGAGGAAGATCATACCCATCTACAGTACCACTGGACCTTCATGGGAAAACTCCACCCTTCTACAGGATCACTGCTTCAACAGAACCACAGCTGTCACTGCAGGAGGGCTGCAGCCACCATTCAATTGGACTACTACCAACACCCTAACCCAAAGGGTGTCAGGTCATATTCTGACTGTGAGTAGCTTTTTTTTTTGTACAATTCTATTAGTATTTTAAATTTTCCTAGTAAAGAACTGTAATTAGTATTCCCCTATCTTTTCCTTAGAGCCTCTTAACTTCAAAATTATAATAATTTGGAGGCAAGGGGTTTACATATTCCATTTCAAGGGAGGCTTCTGCCTTCCTTAGAAGACACCTGTCTTTTCAAACCAAGATAGTGATGATGGCCAAAGCCATGGTCCCATATGAAGTAACATTGGATTGCGGTGGAGAGGGAGAAGCTTCCATGGAGTGAGCTGGGGAGCAGAGCTGTGCTGGCCAAGGGGGCTGTGGCAGCAGAGCCTGAGGCAGGTCAGTGGCTGCTGCTGGTGGAGCGTCAGGGATGGCAAGAGCAGCTTTATAGAGCTGCTGCTGCTGCTGCTGCTGCTGCTGCTGCTGCTGCTGCTGCTGCTGCTGCTGCTGCTGCTGCTGCTGCTGCTGCTGCTGCTGCTGCTGGGGGGATTTTGGTGGCGCTGCTCTGGGCAGCAGGGCAGGTGCAGGGATGTAAATGTGCTGGGTATCCCCTTACCCGGGGCCAGTGTCACTCTTGACTATTTGAATGTTGGTTCAGGTGGGGCTGTGCTGGGTGCCACAAACCCACAAGTTGGAAAAATTAAAAAAGTTTGCAAAAGCTCTAAGTAATTGGCGTGTGGTTTGAACATGAAGGAAATTGGGATAAATGATTGAAAGGAAGCGGTATATCCATGTGAAGCACAAATAGGAAATCCTGGAGCATGCCAGCAGCAGCAAGATCTTCTCATTAGAGTTCAGAGTTTTCTTTTGGACCCAGGCAATGCAAAGCACACAAACAATGAAAGCATTTATCCACATGCCAGGAAATGCCTCCAGGGTGATGATGGTCACAGTTAAGACCCGAAATGAAGTGACATTGGATTGCTGTGGAGGGTGACAAGCTTCCATGGTGTGAGCTGGGGAGCAGAGCTGTGCTGGCCAAGGGGGCTGTGGCAGCAGAGCCTGAGGCAGGTCAGTGGCTGCTGCTGGTGGAGTGTCAGGGATGGCAAGAGCAGCTTTATAGACCTGCTGCTGCTGGGGGGATTTTGGTGGCGCTGCTCTGGGCAGCAGGGCAGGTGCAGGGATGTAAATGTGCTGGGTATCCCCTTACCCGGGGCCAGTGTCACTCTTGACTATTTGAATGTTGGTTCAGGTGGGGCTGTGCTGGGTGCCACAAAGAGCGGAGATGTTTTTGTGTGGTGGAGAATGTTGTGATTTTGAGAGTGATCCCTGTTTGATCAGTGTCAGGCTTCAGGATCTGGGTTCTTCTGTCCTTTCTTTGCCTATGATAATCGTGCAGAGCCCTGGCTGTGCTCATCAGGTGAGGGGACTCAGTGTCCTTTTTAGTCTCAGAGTCTGGGTTCTGCGACATTCAACCCAGATGCTGGAAAAATTGAGTTTATTTTGGTACTTCACAGGCATTGAAATCCATGTTTTCTTTGCCAGTGGCATTGCCATAAGCATAAGTGAAGAGGCCCATAGTGGGGCAGATGATGGGAGCCAAGAAAGTAAAGCTGGTATTTTTAAAAAGTTTAATTTGGATTGGATGGAGGAAAAGGGTAAAAATGGGGACAACTCCGTGTGCCAGGATTCTGATTTCGTCTCCTTGGGAAAGTGCAGGCTTTTAAAGATGGCGCCATACTGAGTTCCCCCCACACTGAAGTGCCCTAAAGCTTCCATATGAATTTAGAGCCTGAAAGCTGTGAGGTTTTTCCCAGGGAAGTTGTGTTAAGCTCTGTAGAGCATGGACTGCCCATGCACTTTGGGTTAGTCCAGGACCTGTCACATTTGGCCTTGCACATCAGGACCACAGTAAGCAAGGAGATCTCATCTGATGCTGTGGTGGAAGCAGGAAAATTCAAACCCCAACCAGGAGCTCTATGGCTACAGGAAATGAGGCACCAGGTTATTCTCTCTTCCAAATCATGACAGCCATGTTTTCTGTGGGTTAAAAGTGCCAGCAGTGTGTTACATGAATATTCATATCACATCCTTCTAATTGCATTATTTTGTACTTCATAAACACTTGGAATGTGACCCAGAGCATTTTTCCATACTGTGCCAGCCCTGGGCAGCCATTCCCATTGACTTCTGACATCTCTAATGTGTCAGCTTCTCCAGGCTGGGCACATCCTGCATCTGTCCCCATGGGTTGTGCAGGGTGGCTGTGCTGATGGACACCCTGTCCCCTCCAGAGCCAGCTGAGTGGGGCTGGTGCACAGGACAGGGATTCTGTGCTGGCTGTCACATTCTCAGGGGTTTCACAGAAATGGAAGAAGGGATCTACAGCGTGGTTCCCTGGGGCTGTGGTGTTTTGTGTGGTAACATCTGTAGGTGCTGGGTTTTGCCTACTGAGTCTTGTGGCAGGTAAGGTTGTAAGGGATGATGTTGCACAGCATGTAGGAAACAATATGGATCTTCCAGGGCTTTCCTGTGAAAGCTGTCAGGACTGTCAGGTTAAAGGATGAAATACATGTGCATCAGCAGAAGAAGAAGGGATATGTGGCTGTGCCTGTCCTTCCAAAACCTTTCACAAGGGAGATGTCTCCAGCAGAACTGCTTATGATCTGCCTCCGCACCTGAGCTGCTGGTAGAAGTGACCAATTCAGGTGAATTTTGTAAATGCTGGCACTATTTTGTGTTTCACCTGCTGTGATGGGTTGACCTCAGGGAGAAACCAGAACTCTTTCCCCTGAGATATAAGTCTTTGTCGGCCCCTTAGTGGGGGCCCAGGAAGAAAGAGGGGAAGAAACACCATCAAATAAAGTTTCCCTGGGACCCCTGTGCGCTGCCTGTGTTTTATACTGCGCCGAAACAACTGACAACTGGGATTCAAGGAGCTCCAGGGGGAAAACTGCCGCCCCTCACTCTCACATCAGCTAGCGGGGAAAGAGAAGCGGCAATTAAGAGTACAGAAATCTGGCAGAAAATAAAGCCCCTGTTGGTCCTTAGAGATCAAAAGTCACGGGTGCAGCTCAACTTAATCTCTGATTATGGCAAATTCAACGTGTAAGTCTTGTCATGTTCAATAAGAAATTTCAGAGTCACAGAATCACAAATCATGCACTTTATTGTAGAAATACAAATTTGGAAATGCCACTAATGAATACACTCACTGGATTAGCTCTAAAAATATTTAGGAAAAAAGAAGAAAATAAGGAAGAACAACGGGTAATTCATGAAGGTCAACTTGGTCACCAGTCAGGGCCATGAACAGAATTTCACCAGGGTGCAATCTGACAGAGTCGGAAGAGCAAATCTTTACCAAGAAGTGTTCCCTGCTTTGGGGAGGTGAGCAAAGCAATCCTGTTGTCCTGTCAGCACTGGGGGTTATATTCCCATCCTCTGCCAGGGAGGATTTGAAATGCCAAATGTGTACTTTTGGGAGAAATGCAGGTGAGGCTGCAGTGAAAATCCCTTCTTGCTGCCATGGTCAGTGGTGGTGGGCTCCAGCTGCTGTGGGGCTGAGGGATACCCAGGGTTCTGATTGCCAAGGCTGTGAGTCTTGGGCAGGGGCTGAACACTTAATTAGCATCACTCCCTCTTCCACTGGGCTCAGGCAGAGCTGAAGGGGCTCTGCCTGATGATCCATCAGCCCAGCAGCACACTCTCATGCCCACATTAATCCCTTCACCACACAGGGGCTTTGGCATCTTTCCTAGCATCAAAGCTAATTGACTTTGTCAATAACAGAAAGATATATAAAAGTTTTAGATACATTTATTTATGATAATAGTGAATATAGCTCAATAGATATGAATGAAAATTTTTTTAACTTGGATGTTGAAGGGTGAATACCAGTATCATCTACACTGCCTAGAGAGCTGCATCACCATCAGCCCAGCAGCACACTCTCATGCCCACATTAATCCCTTCACCACACAGGGGCTTAGGCATCATTCCTACCATGATGAAGTCCTAAATGGTTTTGTTAGAACTAAAAATATAACTGAAAGGTTTAGCTAAAATTAAATTCAATAATAATGAGTATAGCTCACAATCATTTAGCTCAATATATAGGAAGTTTTCTTAACCTGGATGTTGAAGAGTGAACATCAGTATCATCTATGCTGCCTAGAGAGCTGCATCAGAAATTTAATATCTTGTTTTCTACAGTAGAAGATCAACATTTTCCATGGGCTCCAGCTTTTGTAATAGTGAATATAGCTCAATAGATATGAATGAAAATTTTTTTAACTTGGATGTTGAAGGGTGAATACCAGTATCATCTACACTGCCTAGAGAGCTGCATCAGAAATTAAATTACTTGTATTTTACAGTGAAAGATCAACATTTTTCTTGAGTTCCAGCTTTTAATTAACAAGACCAAACACACAAAGTTGATGCTGTACATGACGAAGAAGGAGAAGATAGATTTCATGGCTCTGATGTGGGCATCCATGCTGAGGTCCTTCATGGAGTTTGTCTGCATCCTGCGCTTGTGTCTCCAGAGAGAAAAGAGAAGGAAAACAGCAGAAAATATGACAACTGTGAATGAAACAGCATATCCAAATCCAGTGAGAAAAAAAGATAAGAAAATATGTTTATCCGTTTTGATTCTTGCTTCCCAGAAATTTTCTTGGCTGTTGAAAGTGAGGTTGTTCCTCTGCAGAGTTTCAATGAGGTCATAGATAACAACGCCCATAGCCAAGGCTAAAATCTCTGACCCCAACAAGAGCCAGGGCACCATCCTGTCAATTTTTCCCTTCAGGTAGTTGAAGAGCCTGTTCCTGACATTGGCAATTTTTATGCAGTAGAAACCACAAAGACAGGCTGAGACCCACAAGTTGGAAAAATTAAAAAAGTTTGCAAAAGCTCTAAGTAGTTGACGTGTGGGAGCAGAGCTGTGCTGGCCAAGGGGGCTGTGGCAGCAGAGCCTGAGGCAGGTCAGTGGCTGCTGCTGGTGGAGTGTCAGGGATGGCAAGAGCAGCTTTATAGAGCTGCTGCTGCTGCTGCTGCTGCTGGGGGGATTTTGGTGGCACTGCTCTGGGCAGCAGGGCAGGTGCAGGGATGTAAATGTGCTGGGTTTCCCCTTACCCGGGGCCAGTGTCACTCTTGACTATTTGAATGTTGGTTCAGGTGGGGCTGTGCTGGGTGTCACAAACAACGGAGATGTTTTTGTGTGGTGGAGAGTGTTGTGATTTTGAGAGTGATCCCTGTTTGATCAGTGTCAGGCTTCAGGATCTGGGTTCTTCTGTCCCTTCTTTGCCTATGATCATCATGCAGTGTCCTGGCTGTGCTCAGGAGAGAATTGTCAAGGGACTCAGTGTCCTTTTCAGTTTGAGAGTCTGGATGCTGCAACATACAACCTCAGTGCTGGAAACGTGCAGTTTATTTCGGGGCTTCACAAGCATTGAAATCCAAATTTGTTATTGCATTGGAATTACCTTAAGAATAAGTGTATGGCCCCATAGTGGGGCAGGTGATGGGAGCCAAGAAAGGAAAGCTGGTACTTTTTCAAAGTTGAAATTGGATCATATGGAGGAAAAGGGGAAAAATCGGGAAACGTCCCTGTGCCAGGGTTCCAATCACATCGTCTGTCCCTTCTTTGCCTATGATCATCAGAGCTGGCTGTGCTCAGCAGGTGCAGGCATTCAATGTCCTTTTTAGTCTCAGAGTCTGCGTCCTGCAAAGTTCAACCCAGATGCTGGAAAAGTGGAGTTTATTTTGATCCTTCACACACATTGAAATCCATGTTTGTTTTTCCAATGGCATTACCTTAAGAGTAAGTCATGTGAGACGTAGTGGGACAGGCAATGCAAGGTGCAGAAAATAAGGCTGGATTTTTTTATAAGTATAATTTTGAGGATATGGTGGAAAAGGGTAAAAATGGGGAAATGTCCCTGTGCCAGGGTTCTGATCTCATCGGCTTGAGAAAGTGAAGGCTTTTAAAGATGGTACCATGCTGA